TAAGCCTCGTGCGCCGCTCAATTCTGCGCAAACGATATATATATATATATATATATATATATATATATATATATATATATATATATATTGCATGCATTAATCTGTGCGTGACCAAATGTCAATTGTAGAATGTTTGGGTTAGACACGTAAAAAGCAAATTCAGAACACGCGATGTTTTAATGCATGTCGGCGATTTCTGCGCGTCTATGGCGCGCTTCAGTTGGACATCACGCCGCAGCACGCAACGGAAACATCCGCTTCCAAGTTTTAAAAAGTTGAAACTATGACTAAACTAAAGCTATGAATTGTCGAAGAGTTTGAACTATAAATTGTACTCACACTCATTTTACTCTCTTTTTCATATTACTCTTTACTCATATTACTCACACTCATATTACTCTACTCACACTCTATTGCGCTGATAATTGCAAGAGTAGTGTGAATGAAGCTATGACGAAACAAAGCGCAAGCAATAACATTATGTGGTACTTCCTGGAGCATGTACCCAAAATTTTGTAAGTATCTTACCTTTACACGTACCCATACGGATAATCTCACCAGCATCGGTACCCAGCCCACCACGCTGCCCGTCCACTATAGGTTCCTATGGGTGTATCGATTCCGTGAAGTCAAATATATGACCGGTTTTGCATCGTGCCCGGTAGTATACTGGGTGTACATTACATCAGTTAGTATGTGTGATGAGAACTAAGAATGCATCCATTTGTTTCGTGAGGCCGGTCAATGCAGGCTCGCCCTGCGGCGGGAGGGACCGAAGCCAGCTCATCCTCTCGTGAGGAGGCCTGCTGCCCGTGACGCGCTCTCCTCCCCCGTGACTGCAGTCGTGACCGGCGTGATGACAGCGCTTCCCGGCGAGCGTGACTCCCCGCTCCCGCGGGGAGGCGCCGGGAGGCGCTGGGAGCCTCGGCTCGACTGCGGACGGCGGCTGCCGTCGCCGGCCGCCGAGCCGGCGGCGCAGTATCCGGCCGGTGATAGGCGCTGACGTCATCAAGAGCGCACACACAGACAGCGGGCGGCGGCGGAGGCGGGGCGGGCGGGGATAGCGGGCGCCGGAGGAGCGGCGCCGGCCGCCGCCAGTTGTTCCCGGGACGGCGCGTCGGCCGCGCGTGGGAAGCGCCTGCTCTCGCTCGCCGCCGCAGAGTCGCGCTGGGTGGGCCGACGCCGAGCGCGGGACAATGTTAGGTGTGATTGGCGAGGCCGCCGCCAGTCGCTTCTCCGGAATCAACAGCAGGACCTGGCTAGGTGAGTGACCGAGAGTTGGAGTGGCTGATCGGTGGGCTTATGTCGGCCGCGGTGGTACAGGGCTGCGTCATCGCGTTGGGCTGCGGCTTCGCGAGGTGGTGATTTGGAGGCGACGACTGCGACATCCCGAAGATTGAGATCATCGTGAAAGGAAGCTGATGTGTTGAGACATTGTTCGTAATGTTAGGCTCGTAGCTCTTGGTATTGGTTTGGACCAGTTATGGTAGTCGTAGGAAGTGATGGATGTTTGTCATGCAAGTGCTGTCTCAACTAAGGGCTCACTTCCGTTATTCCGCTATTCCGTACTCCGTATATTCCGTTTATAGTTATATTTGCGTTTAGCTTTATTTCATTTCATATCATTTTAGCTTTTATGGCATTTCAATGATGTTTTGTGTGTGTAAATTGTGCTTAATTTGGAATACCTCAAGTTTGGGCTCATTGATTTCCTTATTACTCAAAACAGCATCCCCGCCCAAATTGTAGCAACTTGGATTGGATCATATAGGCTGATGTCATCAAATCACCGAGAGACATAGACCAACATTACTGAAATGTGGGCGCCCGGATCATCCTGTCTCTCTCGCGCTGAAACGAAACGGGGCCCTCTCACCAGCACGCAACTGCTGACGGGACCCCTATGCTCCTGCTATTCTTGCGGCACCATTGTACCGACCGAGGCCGCGCTGCCCACGCGCGCTTCACGCCCGAGTTGTGCGCGAATTTCGCGGTATCCGGCCCCCTCCACCGGATCCACGACCACTCAGTCCGCGACGAAGCCGCCGAGCGTGAGCCAGCGGCTGACCGGGCGGTTCGTGTCCTAAACCATCGGTAATTGCCCACACTGCCAAGCCGCGACGATGGGTGAGAATCATCACCGGGTTTCGCGTCAGGCGTGCTGGCATCAACACGACTGCCGTCCCGCACCCGCGGCTCGAGTCGGACCGCGGCTCTGTCCCCCGCCGAACGGGTCGACGGCACGCGGTCCTTTGCGAGGCCAGCCGACGGGCACCGCAGCGCGTCTGACCTCCAGTCGGTGCCGCTGAGCTGGCGAAGGGCTGAGCTGTCCCGCTCTGATGCCGGTCATCAGAGCGGGATCAGAGCGGGGTCAGAGCGGGATCAGAGCGGGGTCTGGTGATGCCCCCCGCCGTCACGATGTATGTGAGAGAGAGCGAGGGCGGCAGCCACAAACCGCTGCAGCCCGGCGACGGGTCAGTGAGGACAACAATGTCCCGGTGTGGTTAGTCAGGGGTGGACCTGACACCGGAAGAGGCCTGCCTGCCTTCTCTTTTGGCCGCGTTCCTCGTGGTGAGACTGAGGCGTGTGTTGCGGTGCCAGGAAGAGCTTCAGACGTCGGCGTTCGGACGCCAACTCCCCTGAAGTGCCGGCTTGTCTGCCGCTCCAGAGCGCGCGGCTGGCCCGCTGCCGCTCCCGCCTGCCGCCCGGACGCGACCTCCCCTGAAGTGCCGGCTTGTCTGCCGCTCCAGAGCGCGCGGCTGGCCCGCTGCCGCTCCCGCCCGCCGCTCGGACGCTGGGCTCGGATGCGGTGCGCCCCCCGCGGCTACTGATTCACTGCCGGCATCACGTGTCGGCGTCGGTCGACTGATGCCGTCATTACCGGCCGGCGCTGCGGCGAGCCGGCGAGATGAGCCGCTGATGAACTGCGATTACCTGGTAAATCGCCGTGACTCAGGGCGGGGTCGTGTTCACGGCACGTGCCAACACATGCTCGCCGCTCTTGATCACAGTTTTGTTCTTGTGTGACCGCTGAGTGCGAGGAGCGAGCGCGCCTGTGAAATGGAGCAGAGAAGTGGCTTGAAACAGTTAGGTCCACATGGCAAGGGTATGGTGCGCCGGGCGTCTTCGTGGATTTTTATGATCTCACCTGGTACAGTTTCGTCGAAACAGCGCAGTGCAGATTGCTGCATTCTTTCGTCGGAACGGCGTGTTCTGGTCGGCCCCGCCCCTCGAGAACGCATTCTAGGGAACTATCTTGCTGGAGTCAGAAGTACCTGTTCCCTGTGCATGGAATGGTCGCAAATTGGGCCCGTTACTTCCTTGTACCAGCTCCAGTGTCATAAGTTGGCGCTGGCGAGGCGCAGCACTTGACGGCCCGGAGTCATACTCGGCTAACGATCGGCCGGGCATGAAAAACTTCGGGCGAGCAATGCCGGCACGATAAATGGTCGGCTGGAGCGGCAACGGCGGCGGCGAGCCCGGCCAGGGTGGGTCTTGTCGCAGCGACGGCCGACTTTTCTGATCTGGACGTGTTCTCTAGCAAACCGGCGACCTGAACGGACATTTGCACGCCGCGAGAGCCGATTCCGGTTGTGCGGGGCTCATGCCCGTCGGCTGCTCCAGACTGCTCGCCAGACTGTGGCCAAGACTGTGGCCCAGACCGTCCCCCAGACTGCGGCCCCAGACTGTCCCCCAGGTGACAGCGTCGGCCAGCAGTCCGGCTCCGCCGACCCCTGGACCAGGTCGATGACGACTGGGCCTGGATGGCCCGATCGGGTCGTCAAAATGCCGACGTGCTCGCCTGGGTCGGTTCGATCGCGCCGTCCCGGCGCCGGCCAGGCTCGCCGGCTGACCAGCGGATGCGACCAGGGTGCCAATGGCCAGGGTGTCTCTGTCGGAGGTCGGATGTCCGCCGAGCTGCGGACGCCCGGCGCAAAGGCGGCATGTAGCGAGGAGGTGTTGCGTGAACTTCTGGAACAGGCGCCCGTCGCAAAATCACGCCGCGACCGTGCAAAGGGGTGTCTGGTGCAACTTTTGTTACCCTTCCCATGGAGGAACCAAGGTGCTGACATTAGGTCTTTACTGCTAGTGTCTCCTCTGGGCTGCCTGCGGCCAGAGACCCTTGCAAGTCCCTAACGCAACGCGTCATTGCAACTGCACAAAAGAACACGGAGAACTCCGCCTTTGTTCCGTTTTCGGAGCTGTTATTCGCTGCCTGATCGGGTCACCGCGGCGCGCCATTCATAAAGGCGCCGCTGCGTGACCTTAAGGCCGTGTCCACCCATGGCCTGGCATGTGTGCCGCATCGGGCGCCGCCGCCGGCACCTCCGGCACCTGCCGATCCCGCCGCCGCTGCCCCGCCCCGAGGTCGCTGGACCGTGTCCGACACCACCCAGTGGAGCTAAGACCCGGCGGCAGGTGCGGCCGACCCCCTTTGTCCTTCATCCTCGGCTGGCGCCCGCTGGATGCGTCGCCCACGGCTCCCGTGAGCGCCGCCAGCGCCATCTGGCTCCGCTTCTCTCTCCTGCTATCTCCCTTCTATCTCCCTTGTGTGTCCCTGGCTGTCTCGCTCCTCTCGCTCATTTCCGTCCACCCACTGTATCGCTTTCACTCCATTGCTTCCTCTCCCTCTCCCTTTACAAGGGATGTGTCCGGGAGCAGCCTCGACGTGTCGCTTCTTCTGACGTGTCTTTTTCTGATGTTTCGTTCCCTCTGGTGTGTGTCTCTCTCTCTTTCTCTCTCTCTCTCTCTCTCTTACGTCTCGCTCCACCAACGTTTCACCCGCCCTAACGTCACTGGGCCTCTGTCGCTTAGCGCTCTCTGTCGTGTCGCTCTGTTTGACGCATCTCCCCGCTGCCGTGTCCCTCTCTATTGCCTCCCTCCGACAAGTCGCCCCCACTAGCGTGTCCTTCTCTGATCTCTCTTCCTCTCCGACGTGTTGCCTCCGCCGACGGGTTCCTTTCTTCCCCCGCCCTGACGTGTCGCCACCTGTGTTGCAGACTATGAGATGTGCGACTCGATGACGGAGGAGAGAAACGCGCCCTCAGAGGAGGCCCCGGCCCCGGCCGACCACACCGGCTCGGAGCCCATGCAGGATGACCAGGTGGGTGGCGGGCGACGTCGCCTCGGGCGCCCGTCCGGCGCCTTGGCCACCGCGCGTTACCGCCAGCGGCACGAGCCAGCCGGCCGCTATCGCGGTCGGTCGGCGGCTCTGGGCGCCCTGCTTCCGCCCTTTGTCGCTTTCGCCCGTCAGCCATGTCTACGATTGGCTAATTAGTTGGACGGTGCTTTGTCGCTGTCATGAAGTCTGGGTGCAAGCTTCTTTGTTCGGGGACAAGGTATTTTCCTGGCGTGCAGCGAAGCGACGCTCGCGAAATGCTGCCGCGTCTTGCCCAGTCTCAGTGGTGGACATCACTTCACTACGTCATATCCTCCTGCCTATCGGTGACATGGCTTCAACCTATGTGTGATAACACGCGCATGATATGGCCTCAATAGGTAGGGAATTATCCCGTCGCAGACCCGTTTCCAAGCGGCCCATCCTGCTGACGATGGCATGTATCAGTGCGCCTTTGTAATCATCCGGCATGTAGAGCGCAAGCTGGCCATTGGCACGGAGGTGCGGCGACACCCACCACTCTGTCCGCGCGAACACGGCCGGCACACCACTGGCACACCACTGGCACACCATTGGCACGGAGGTGCAGCGACACCCGCCGCTCTGTCCGCGCGAACACCGTCGGCACACTACTGGCACACCATTGGCACGGAGGTGCGGCGACACCCATCGCTCTGTCCGCGCGAACACGGCCGGCACACCACTGGCACACCACTGGCACACCATTGGTACGGAGGTGCGGCGACACCCACCGCTCTGTCCGCGCGAACACGGTCGGCACACCGCTGGCACACCATTGGCATGGAGGTGCGGCGACGCCCACCGCTCTGTCCGCGCGAACACGGCCGGCACACCACTGGCACACTATTAGCACACCACTAGCACACCATTGGCACACCATTGGCACGTCGTGACACGCCATGACATCCTCGTATTCCAAAACGAAACTTAACAGATCGCACCGTCTATTTTTCGATCAAACTGAACTAGTTCGTGTCGTGTCAAAACGAGTTTTGCCGTTTTTGTCCCATGCAGCACTTGGCCTCGGATTCCAAGGAAAGAAAGGACCGATGCACGTCATCCCGCGGGCGGAGCGACACCCCGACGCATCCTCCTCTGTGCCTGTCCGCGGCACCCGCACCACCCTCTGCCTGACACCTGTGGGACACTGACGCCAGGCGTCGTTTGGGCACACTCATCCTCTTTATTGGATGCAAGCGGCCCAATGCAACCCTGGAATAAATCAGAGTCGTATCGGCCTGCCAGTTGGTTAGACGTCAGTCAGCCACCCCCACCAGGTGTGGATAGGGTGCCAGCTAGGATGCCGGTTCGCGCTGCGTAATTGCAAAACTACATGGTTAACAACCTGTGCATTAAAAAAATATAGAATTAGGGCGTGCATTAATCAAAGCAGACTGCCTCGCTTGGGTACCGATGAACGCTGTCGCTTTCACGGGTTCTTCTGGCAGCCTTTCTGTGCGGAAATTTGTAATCGGTCACTTTTTACACCAAGCGAAGGCGCTCTGCAGTCATGCATCGTTTCCCAGCCTGATGAATGCTCACGAAACCCGCATCAGTAAACCGCATGGCTGGCGATGACTGCGTGTTGGTTTGGCACAAAGTGTGGCGTAAAAACCAGTTGGTTAGGTCGTTTGACGTCACGGTAGAGCGGTATGACAACAAGGGGGTAAACACCGCACCTCGCCGGTGCGTCATGGCGCACAATGCATCCCATCGTGTCGCACAGCGTCGCGTCGTGCATCGCATCGCATCCCACTTTGCGTCACAGCTCATGGTCTTTGCTTTTCTAGTTTGCTGCCACACCGACGAAAACCCAAGAATACATACACTGTGGCAAACACTCGAATGTCGACAACCCTACCCGTGCGAGTTTTTGAGAGTAGGCACAAAGCTGTACGCATTGGCTATGCCTCTCACTGGTCACTTGTCATCTTCCTGAACACAGGGGTAGCAGGCATATGAACAGCACGTGAAAACCAGATTGGGCGGGGTAACGAGTTTCTATGCTGGAAACCACCGGCGTCAACATGCAAGAGGGGGCTGCTTACGCTGGTTAAACTGGGTCTCAAGCAATCACTGGGGAATGGAAATGATCGACGTGTCCAACACGGCTCATGGTCGCGGGCGGCCATGAACAATCGCTCTGCTGGAGGCAGACAAGCTGTGATGCAGGTGGTCTTTTTAAGTGATTCTGACTCAGAGCATCACAGCTCGGTTTTGAGTTGACTCCGATTCAGAGTTACGGATAACGTCAATTTCAGGATAGATTCTAATGACGTAGATTCTGGTGACGTCATTTGAGGGCTTAAAAGCATGATTGGTGCGCCTAATGCTCCACTCATGATCATGAGCTTTGCTGGAAACGTCGAGTACTCGCTTGATATGTCTCAAGGATTACTCGATACATTCGTTTCACAAGTACCACCATGTATGCCGGGGTTATAAACGTACAGCATAACAGCTCATAATGCCGAAAAAGCAGGTTTTTGGTCTTACAGCAATCACATCGGAGCGACCGTGACATTTGCCGACGCCTTCGTTTCGAGGCTTGCGGACACTTCACGCATCTCGTTCAGCCGGCTTCTGTGGGCTGGCGGGCCGCCCGGCCGCTGTCTGACGCGCCCCGCCTCCGCAGATGTCCGACTGCGGCACGGACACCGGCTCGCTGGAGAGCATCAGTGACCTGCCGGACGCCGAGAGCGGCCAGCAGCTGGCCTGCCCGTCTCGCGACTGCGAGCAGACCTTCCTCAGCCCGAAGGCGTTCACGCAGCACCTCCGCTCGCACAACAAGAGCCTGGTGGACGCGGGTGGCCAGCACGCGTGCGGCATCTGCCAGAAGCCGCTCAGCTCGGCGGCGTCGCTGGACCGCCACATGCTGACGCACACCGGCTACAGGCCGTTTTGCTGCCGGCTCTGTGGCCTGCGCTTCACCACCAACGGCAACATGCACCGGCACCTGCGCGGCTCGCACTGCGGCGAGGAGGGCGCGCGGCGGGCCTGCAAGCGGCGCGGCAGTGGCGACGAGGCCGGCCCGGCCGCCGGCGCCGGCGGCTGCCCCGAGGGCAAGCGGCGTCCGCCGACAGGCTCCGACTCGGACGCCGACGCCGAGCCGTGGCCGGACCGCGGCGAGCCGGCGCCGGCGGCGGTGCTCGGCGCGATGCTGGAGCACAAGTATCGCGGCCCGGCCGGCGCCGAGCCGGAGCGGCGCGGCTCGCCCGAGGCGACGGCGCGGCGCGCGGCCGTCTCGGCCGAGCCGCTGCTCAGCTGCGACAAGTGCAGCTTCCGCGTGGCGGACGCCGACGCCATGCAGCAGCACGAGGCGCGCCACAAGTGCAGGGACTGGATCCAGTGCATCCGGTACCCGATGCCGGAGGCGCCGAGCCAGCGGTCGGCTGAGGCGGCGCGCGGCGACGCCGCCGACCTGCGCCCCGCCTACCCGGGCCTGGCCAGCCCGGGCTCTGGCTTGAGCGCGTCCAGCGCACCTCCCCTGGCGCGCCTGCTGCCGCTGACTGGCGAGCCCATCTCGCCGTACCGCGGCGACCGCGCCTCCACCAGCCCACCGCCCGAGTACCCGCTCAAGGAGGCGCGTCACAGCCAGCCTCTCGGCGCGCCGCCCGCAGCGGCGGAGGAGGTCGAGGATCCGGCCTTCGAGCACATCCGCACGATGAAGGCCAAGGGGGAGTTCCCCTGCCGGCTCTGCGACCAGGTGTTCCCGAACCTGCGCGCCATGAAGGGCCACAACCGGCTGCACATGAGCGCCACGCCGTACGAGTGCAACGTGTGCCCGTTCTCCAGCGGCGACAAGTCGACGCTGACGCGCCACATGAAGGACCACAACGGCGAGCGGCCGTACGAGTGTCGCATCTGCAAGTACGCCTTCACCACCAAGGCCAACTGCGAGCGCCACCTCAAGAACCGGCACCAGCTGAAGCTGCGCGAGCTACTCAACGACAACATGGTGGTGCACCTGTCGGCCGAGTCGTCGCCGCAGAAGCCGGCCGCGCCGCCGGCGCAGTGCACCGTCTGCGCCGTCTGCAACACCGACTTCAAGCTGCCCAAGGTGCTGAAGGAGCACATGCGCTCGCAGCACGGGCCGGCGGCGCGGCGCGGTCTGGTTGTCTGCACTGTGTGCGAGCTCAACTTCCCCGAGCAGGCGCAGGCCGTGCAGCACGTGCGCAAGCAGCACCCGACCAAGGAGCCGGGACTGGTGCTGCAGGAGCGGCCGCGCGCCGAGCTCGCCTCGGACCTCAGCAGTGTCGAGAGCCTCATAGACCAGAGCAAGAGGCGTCCGATGCACTTCCCCATCCCGCCCACCATGATCTCGATCCCGAGCCTGATGAAGCGGGAGCCGCCGCCCATCGTGCCGTTGCGCGCGGTGACGCCCACGCCGCCGCCGGCGCCGGTCGCGGCGCCGCCGCCGCGCGAGCGCTCGCCTTCGCCGGAGGCTGGCGACGAGCCGATGCCGCTCGACCTGAGCAAGAAGGCGGCCGACGCGCCATCGCGCCGCGTCGAGGAGCCGCAGAAGCAGGCCGAGCCGGACGCCAAGCTGCCGGCGCTGCTGCCGCCGCCGCTCAACCTGTACATGCCGTACCCGCACGGCATGCCGCTGTTCGTCATGCCGGGCATGTTCCCCTATCCGCTGGACGAGCACTGGCAGAGCCGCCTGGGACGCGAGATGGCGCGCGGCCTGCAGCTGGGCTCGGGCGGCGGCATATTGGACCCGCAGAACCAGATGCACGCTCTTACCTCGGCGCTGTCACTGGCCGCGCAGGCCCACCGCGAGCGCTCGACAGAGGCGGAGCGCAAGGAGGCCGAGCCCGAGCCGCGCTGGTCACCCAAAACGGACGCGCCCGAGCTGGCCGGTCTGGTGACGTCTGGTCGCGAGGGCGCCTCGCCGGACGCGCTGCTCAAGAGCAAGCCCAAGCAGCGGCGCTACCGTACACAGCGACCCTTCTCCTGCAGCTACTGCGAGGCGCGCTTCACGCTCAGCACCAACATGGACCGGCACGTCAAGAACCACCACCCGGACAAGTGGGAGCGCAAGTCGCGCGGCGCGCGCCGGCCGCCGCCGGGCGCTGCCGACGCCAGCCCCAAGCCGGTGGCGCCGCCGCCGGCCGCCGCCAGCCCCGGCCGTGAGCAGCCCAGCCCTTCCAACGGCTACGTCAGCGACGACGAGAGTCAGCTGGTGATCGACGAGCCGGCGCCGGCGCGACGCGACGAGGACCTGGCCAGCGTGTCACGACTGGTGGACACAGCGCAGGCGCAGACGTTCCAGCAGTACTTCGGCAGCGACGAGGAGCGCAGCGACGCCGCCGACGAGGGCTCCTGCAGCGGCGACGACGACCCCGAGCGCGCGCTCGAGAAGCGGCGAAGCGCCTACTCGAACGCGCCCAACAAGATCCCGTGCAAGGTGTGCAAGCGGGAGTTTCCCTGGACGAGCTCACTGAAACGGCACGAGCTGACACACAGCGGCGAGAAGCCGTACAAGTGCCCCCACTGCCCGGTGAACTTCACCACCAAGTCGAACTGCGACCGCCACCTGGTGCGCAAGCACAGCGGCGGCGCCTCGGACGACAGCTACACGATGCGACAGGTGCCCGAGCGGCCGTTCAAGTGCGCACTCTGCCCCAGCTCGACGTTTTCGACGCAGGACAACCTGGGCCACCACCACGCGCAGAAGCACGCGCCGGGCGCGGCCGGCCCGCCCACGCAGCACCGCTACTGGTGCCACGTGTGCGACGAGCACTTCTTCGACCTGGAGCGCGTCAAAGACCACGTGGAGGCCGAGCACGAGCAGGCCTGGGCCGAGCTGGAGCGCTGCAACGCTCGCTGGGTCTCCGAGATCGCCGAGGAGGACCAGGGCCAGGACAAGGTGAGTGTCGCGGCCGGCGGTATCGCCGCCGCCTACCTTGCGGGCAGGTCGGAAGCGGGGTTCGTGTCACTCTTGTGATTTGCTATAACATCCAGAACGCTGTGAGATGGGTTGGCGACGTTGTGAGATTTGATTGCAGATTTGTGAGAACGGCATAATTTTTGTGAGATCGGGCGAATTGGACGCTTGGAAAGCTCAATGTTATGACTGCGTTGGTTCGTTCCATTCATGGCAACTTGAAAACACTATTGGGAAGCCTGTTGATAAATTATTGGTGATGCGCGTCGAGCCACGGTTTGGCATTGTTCCATTCCGCATGCATGAATCATGCATAGTTTTACAGTGTTTTGCAAGTGAAATTGCGCGGATATTTGCACCGGGAACTGACAACGATAGGTTTCATGTGTCTCGGTACCTTATCAGAATGCAGTTGCAATGACATATCTGGCCTCTCGAACTGTCTGTGCTTGGTCTTCTGTCCAAAAGATCGTCACGTTTTCATCCGGTCCCCGTCGCGTTTTCGACAGCTGCCAAATTTAGATCAGCAAATCCGCGTGTTCTGCGCGCTCGTCGACACTGTAGTCGATTTCAACCGTCGATGGAGTGCGCTTTTCGCTTTTTGCCGGCACGGCCTGTGTTCCGTCCGACGCAGCTGCTGGCCATTGGCCGATTGCAGTCACAGATCCCAGTCACAGCTTGCCCTGACCCATCCGCGGGAGCCCTCCGTCCGGCTCCTCTGGTGCGCCGCCGCCGCCGGGGCAGGTGACCCGCGCTGTCCCTTCCTCACCCGGCAGACGGCCAGACCGTCCGTTGCCCTGCCGTAATCGGCCTGGCCGCTGCATGCCTGAGGAGGCCGCTCATCTCTGGCGGGCGACCGGCCCGGCCGGTCGCCCGGCGCAGGGGTCACTCTCCGGCCGTACCGGCGCCGCCAGTTTTTGGAGGAAAGCGCGCCGGTCGGCGACCAGTTTTTATCTGCGGCGCCCGCGACGCCGCGCGGAGAGGGCGGGTTCAACAGCCGGGCACGTGAAATCTTGCAAATAAGCTGAGAACGGGTTTGGAGGTCGCCACGTGAGGCGGGCGGGAAGCGCGGCAACATCCCGGCCGGCGATCTGAACGTGTGACCTCTGCTGCCCGCAGATCTTCTGCATGGTGTGCCTGAGCGGTTTCGGCACCACCGGCGAGCTGCGCGAGCACATGGCGTCCAGTCACCAGGCGGCTCCCGCCGACTTCAGCTGCGAGCTGTGCGGCGAGACGTACTCCTTGGAGCACGCGCTGGCGCAGCACCGGCGGCGGCACGCTGCGCAGGAGCCGCTGCCGGCCGCCGCGACACCAGAGCCGGCCGCCGAGCCGGCCCGGCCCGACCGCGCCAAGAAGAGGGACAATCTGAACGACATCAGCGCCCGGCTAAGCGCCGCCTCCAAGCTGCGCCTGACCAATCAGAGCGCGTCGCCCGAGGCCCCGACGGCCGCCGAGAACGGCGAGTGATCACAACGTCAGCTGGGCTGCAATCTCGGGGCCGGCCCCACCCTAATTGTATGCAAATGCGGTCGAGAGGAGGACTGGCGTGGTCGCACCGTACCCGGTCCGGCGGCGCCCCGCCAGCACCCGCGCAGGCTGTACATACACTTGGCTGGGCCGGGGGCGACGCGCGCGCGCGGCCCGCCGCCCGCAGTCGAGGAACGCAAGCTGGGCTCATCCGATGCATTTTACGTAGACGTGGATATGATCTCATGCTGATGACACGGCCCATTGTGCGCCTCAAACGTTGTATCATAAATGCCGTCCTTTTCAAATAATATCTATACGAGGGCGTGATTGTTTCCCTGCCCGTTACAAAGCGCAGGCGCGTGACACCGATTCAGTTTGTAAACCCCGTGATATGTGTCGTGATTCGTGACACCAGTCTTGGCTGCCTCTTTCTATTTTCTGTAGTGTGTGGTAGGAAGCGAGTGGTGATCGCACTGCATAGCACTGTTGTGAATGAACTCCACGGCCCTCCACATTTGCAATGAATCGGAGGTGGTGCATTCCACCGCGTATGGTGCGCGTCTGTGGTGTTTTTCCCTACAGCCGTACCGTTTTCTGGGAGGCCGTAGTCGGCGCCCAATAGTCAGCATTCCACGAGGCCTTGAGAAGTGTCCACAAGTATTGTCCGCCTGAGTGCCTATGCAAATATTCACGCATGTCGTAGCAATAAATATGTGTACAGCACGACCCAGCGCCGCATGTAGCGACACAAATCCACTTGCATTCCCCGCCCTTTGCGACAGCGCGATTGGCTGGATTTCGGTTTGCATTGCCCGCCTCCCCCCCCCCCCCTCCCCCCCCCCACCCAACCCTCGTCCGTCGAACCTCGGATGCGGGTCGCATGGGAGACAAATGTCGGCTGCGTGACGCGCAACCGTCGTCCTTTCACTGTGTGGAGTTACGGTGTGCGTTCGCACTTGTCCACGTTTGAACGGTGTGTATTGCGGTTTGGCTTAGGTACTACCAATATTCGTAATAGGTTGATGCTTTAGTTCGTAGCCGTGTTTTGGTTGGAGAAACCGTGTATGCATAAGCCCCGGCTGGCATTATTATTATTATTATTATTACCATTATTGTGCGGTTATTCATGCTATGGTCATTCCAAATAAAGTGTACAACGCGGAAAAGTGTGTTTTGCTGATCTCCAACGCCAACTCCTGGTGAACGCGTACGCACGGCCGGCATGCTTCCGGCTGCTGTGAGAAAAGGCTCCAAGTTTGAGGGGCCCTGATAAGAACCCTCAGGAAGGCCCTCCAGGCAGCAACAGCCTGATCGACCCAACACAATATTTGCTTTTTTGGAGGGTCCCGTGGTGTTGCCTTTCGGGATGGTTTGACAACATTATTTAAAGCATTGTACGCTTTCCATACAAACTAGGCTACGTAAGTTATTTATTGCAGCTTCGGGGAGCATTACACATTCATAAAACAGTGTTACTGACCTTTTTCCTGGTTGTTGGATAGCACCAAAAGGTGAAAGAAAGACATGTAGGAAGTCTGTCGAATGTACCTGCATTTTTCGCCTTATCGTCAACTATCAACGAGGAATAAGGTCAAAAGCACCGCTTTTAAGTGCTAAGTTAACTCCAGAAACATGCTGATCGAGGTGCATTGACAGCAGGAATTTTCTAGAAACAGATCCACCCCCACAAAATAACGTTCCAGTGTTCGCGGTGGTGCCAACGCGTAAATGATGCAGAATTAGCGGATGTACTGCTGTCCATCTCAACGATATCATGTATTTTATTGTCGTATCACTGAACTGTACTGCATTGACATCGGTCAATCGTACACGTGCAATGCGTAATTTGCTGTTAAATGACTGATGGAATTGATTGGCTCGTGCTGTGATATTGGGCGAGAGCCTTTTGAGAAATTTAGTCCAAACCTTTTGATTGGATGGATCTCTAGCACCAGCGCCCGCGCTCAGCGGTGCTTGCTGTAGAAGGCCTGACTCCATCACACGGTCGTGAAAATCCTGGTCAACAGAACATTTTTGCGGCGAAAGTGTAACTTACCGCAATGTTCGGCACGACGCGTCATGCCCTCTGATGCCAACTGACCTTTCGCGCGGCCGCTGTCGCCGGCCGGTCATCTCCGTCAGTGGCAAACGGCGAGCGCCTGGGGCGACTCTAGCTCCCCATCGGCAACCGAATCGGAAGCCAGTCACGGAGCTATCGGCATTTACAAATACAATGATACCTCGATTGTTTACGAACGTTGTTCGACAAGTATTTCACGTTGCCTATTTTTCACGCTCAGACTTGCTGAGCAGTAATGTGGTGCTGACAGCGCGCTGTCTTATTCACGACTGGAATAAAGACACGACTGCATTCCATTTCAAGATGAAAACCTGTACAATCTCTGACATTCGCTCCCCTGACGCTCTTTTCACGCCCGTCGCCGGTGTGCGGGCCCAACATTTGCTAATGCACGGGCATGGGCCCGTGCGTCTCCCCTGTGTGCGCCTCTGCGCTTCAGACTTGTGGCCTGTCACCACACTACAGACTTGTGGTCTGCCACCGCACTACAGACTTGTGGCCTGTCACCTCGCGCGGCCTGACACCACGAGTTATTATTTTAAGGACAAAGCTGAAAACGAACCTGGCCCAAACCAACTGTGTCAGCTGTTAGGCAAAGGTGGCAACAGATCAGAGTGCCGATGGACCCTGAAGAATATGAATTCGGTGGCGTTTTGAGATATTTCGCGACAATAATGCCTATGGGCAGACGTCGTCCTAAATAATTAGGCATAGGTCGTCGGTTCAAAAATTCCTTGCGTTATGTAAGGAAACCATACGGAGGCCAAAAACCGCTTGAGTGACCCTGTTTTCCCCACCTTAAACGCGCGCTTTGTCATAGCCTACTGTTATATGTCACAGACTACAACCAAGACTCTCATTTCAGTGGAATGCACGCATAAGATTAGTTGTTGGAATTCACGCATAGGACTGTCATGGGGCGAAGGTTTTGGTGAGCTCATCATAACGCAGATTTCAAAACTGCCAGAACCAACTCAATGTTTATTTAAAATACAGTTTATGTGGCTGGTTTTAACTGCAGATACATTTTACTTTCACATAACTTGCGGTTTTACTATGAAGACAAAAGCATAACACTACGATTTGCTGCACATCGAAAACACAAAGAATTCCCAGAAGCCACAAAACCTAATTGCTTTTAAAACCCGCGGACTTCAAGCTAACCGACATCTCATTGAGGTTAAGTTTTGGAGACGGAAGCTACGAAGAAACATAAACTGTGCTTATTCAGTGGGATTCATTTGAAACGGTTTCATTTAACAATTTTACATAAAACTGGCCGGTCAAATTTGGCGGTCCACCATGCACAGTCGTACAGATTTATATCACTGATCAAAGGTACGCATATTTAGGTACCAACCTAACTTCTAGCGGCTTGATAATTTGCTATAAGTGATAATGACATGTGTTATTATTGTGTATTCATTTGCATGTTTGTTGCGGCTGGGATGATTCGTTTCCAAGAAGTATTTCCATCTCAATTCGAAGCGGCATTAAGTATTTTGTACTGAACGTGGCGGATTGCTGGACATTCGAATTGATGAAAAGATCGCCATAATTTCTGCCACGTCAGTGACAGAGACTTGGCAGAAATAAACAGCGGAGAGGGAGACAGCGTTCATGTCGCTTGGTCACTTTGAACAAGAGAAAGGGAATCGGGCGCTGCACCATCTAAGGATTTTTTTCCTACAAAGTTAACAACGGAGAAGTTGACATGCTTTTGACATACTTGCAGGCGACACCATTAATGTTGGCTTTCCTTCCTGGCATCAACAGAGACCAGTGCAGTTAACGCATTTCCAACGTGGTCGAAGCCGAAGCTTCATATAATTTAATGCAGTAGCCAAGGACGAGATCAACCAAACGCAAAAGTGTTCGTTTCCTCAATGTTCTTAGTTATATTACTTACTCGGCCCATTCGGGGGAGGGGGGAAGGGCGCAGACAGCATTGAGAAAGCGAAGGCGATTGGCAAAGACTGACAACGTTTGACAAAGCTAAGGCATAACCACACGAACCCGACCGATGACGACCCCTTGCGGCCGCACATCCCTGGAGCCTTGACACGGGTCTCCCGGCGCGAAACAGAACACGTGCTATCTTTCCTTGACAAGTCTGTTGCCACGCTAGCTCTACCAGCCTTGTAAACGAGTTCCGTCATCCAATAGAATTGCGCATGACCCCATTGTGCGATAGGATTGAAGTTAGACAATTGAGTTTAATCTCTCGGCATTGTTGGCAATCACCCTCACATTGCTTGGACATTGTTACGCATTGGCGCTGAACTAAAAGTCGGTTACGCTCCAGCTACGTCGCAATAATTGTTGCTAAACAAGTCCCTAGTTGCGTCTTAACCGTTTCACTACACTGAGACGCTG